TCCAATCGGGGTGAGGGACATCGTGGCACATCGGGGTGTCCCCTCCTGCTCCTGTCACTGCCAGCCCTGCGGTGGCTCGGTGCCATCGAGATGGGGGTGTCCCCGTGGGTGACACGGGGGTGACACGGGGGTGACACGGGCTGTCGCTGTGACCGCAGGAGCAGCGAGGAGCAGCCGTGCGCCGGGGACCCGCGGCAGTACCGGCTGTGCCAGCTGCAGGTGAGCGCTGCGAGGGCCGCGCACGGACGGTGCCGGTGCCGGTGTCGGTGCCGGTGCCGGTGCCGGTTCCTGTGCCGGTGCCGGTGCCCGGCCCGGCCCGTGGGCTCCATCCCGGTGCTCCCACAGGGCTGCCCCAGCGGCTCCGTGCCTTTCCGGGCCATGCAGTGCTCCCTCTACGACAACCGGCCGGTGCTGGGCACCTCCGCCCGCTACCGYTGGGTGCCTTTCCACGGAGGTGAGTCCCGGCGAGGTGGCGGCGGCACCGGGAGTCCCCGGCTGTCCCTGTCGCCACCCCAATCCCCTCCCACCTGCTCCGGCAGCTCCCAACCTCTGCGACCTCAACTGCYTGGCCGAGGGGCACAACTTCTACTACAGCTTCGGCCGGGTACTGGACGGCACCCGCTGCGGGCCCGGCTCCCCGGACCTGTGCGTCGGCGGGCGCTGTCTGGTGGGTGAAAATGGGGTGGGGACCCCCGGGACCCGCCGGGACCCCCGCGCTGAGGGTGTGTGTGTGTGTGTGTGGGCTCCCCGCAGAGCGTGGGCTGTGACGGGATCCTGGGCTCGGGCACTCGCCCCGATGCCTGCGGCCACTGCGGCAGCGGCCACGGTTCGTGCGTCCTCGTGCACCGGCTGTTCCAGGGCGCGGACCCCTCCTCCGGTGAATGAACCATTGCCCCGGCCCCCTCCATGGGTGAATGCTTTGGCTCTTGGCTCCCCTGTYCWCCTGWCCCCYGTCCGTGTCCCCAAGGCATCGCCTGGGTCCCCCCTTGGCCTGTCCCCTCTCCAGAGGGTCACTGTCCCTGATCCGTGTCCCCAACACAGGGACTTGGAGCAGCCCCATCACTTGGGGGGGTTTTACCTCATTACAGAGGGTGTCACTCCTGGGGTGGGTGGGGGGTGTCTGTTGTGTCCCCAGGGATGTCCAGGGTCACTCAGAGTCCCTGTGCCCACAGTCACCATCCTGTGCAGGCTTTGGGGACAGTGATTCCCATTGTGGGGTTCCCCCGATGTTCCAGCTGGGTTAATGCCCCAGACCCGCGTCCCCTCTGTGCCCTGTCCCCCGCTGTCCCCTTGGGCTGTCCCCCAGGCCCTTCCTGGGCTCTGCCCTGACTCTGCCATCCCCAGGATATTTCGGATACGTGAACGTGACCAAGATCCCGGCCGGGGCCACCAACATCAAAGTGTCGGACAAGAGCCGCAACTACCTGGGTAGGACGTGAACTGTGCCCGTCCCAGTCAGTCCCAGTCCATCCCAGTCCGTCCCAGTCTATCCCAGTCCATCCCAGTCCGGTGCCAGCTGTGTGCGGGCAGGGCAGGGCAGGGCAGGGCAGCGGTGGCTGTGTCACGCCGTGTTGTCCCGTGTTTGTCCCGTGTTGTCCCGTGTTTGTCCCGTGTTGTGCCGTGTTGTCCCGTGTTTGTGCCGTGTTGTCCCGTGTTTGTCCCGTGTTGTTCCGTGTTTATCCCGTGTTGTTCCGTGTTTATCCCGTGTCGTGCCGTGCCGCTCCCTCTCTCGGATGCTGTTTTGAGCACCGCGGGGTCAGTGAACTCGCAAGCGCTCGGGGCAATTTTCCAGAGGCCGCGGCCGCGCGTTTTTGGGAAGGGCTGAGCTGGATCGGGGCCAGAGCGGCCACTGCAGCACCAGGACAGGGACCTCCGTCCCCGTCCCCATCCCTCCTCCCCTTCCCGATGCAGCTGGAGCCCCTTCCCCCACCCCAGGCAGGATTTGGGGGCTCGGGGGTGGCTTTGCACACCAGGCTGTGGCTGCGGCTCGGGCCCGGAGCCAAAATCCTCCAGGAAAGCAGATTCCCGGAGCCCCGAGCGCGGCTCTCCCGGCCCACGCTGCCCTCCCGCGCCGGGAGAGGCCTCCGGTGGGGAGCGGGCCGGGGGTCCCGGGGGCCGTGCGGGGCTCGGTGTGCCGGAGCCGCTCCTTCCCGCAGCGCTGATGGCGAGCGACGGGCGCTACGTCCTTAACGGGGACTGGGCCATCGCGTGGCCGGGACCCTACGAGGCTGCGGGCACCCTCCTGACCTACAGCCGGGCCCCCGACGGCACCGAGAGCCTGGAGGCGCCCGGGCCCACCCTCGAGGACCTGCACGTGATGGTGAGGGCGGAGGGGACACACGGGKAYGGGCACGGCCACCCCCGGCCACCCCCGCTCCCCTCAGCCCTGCCCGTGTCCCCCCCGCCCAGGCGCTGCTGCAGGAGCCCAACCCCGGCATCGAGTACCAGTTCTGGCTGCCCCGCGGGCACCCGCAGCTCGGCCGTGCCGACACCAGCCCCCTGCGGCAGCCCCAGCCCCGGGGCGCCGGCAGCCCCCCGCCCCCGGAGCCCCCGGAGCC